GGAAGGGCTGGAGAGGAGCCCTGAGCCGCTCCCTGAGGTTTGGTGGAGGGACAGATCCCCATGTGGCCGCACTCGTGCCAGCAAGGCCGGGCAAGGAGAGGATTTCCAGCGCATGGAAGAACATGGCCCTTGCTGACCACCATGGGGACACCATGGGGACACCAAGATGGCTCAACACAGGTGTCTCCTACCACTTTAAACCAAGGAGCTCAATGGGAATGCATCCAAGTTTTGCAGATGTGATCACAAACATGTGGGCTAGGTAGGAAGTTCTTCCTGATCACCAGCCTTTCCCCAAGACCTCCTGCACTCCAGGGAATCCACGCCCTTCTGGGAAGCCCCATATATCATTTGAGAAGCCCAACAGGTAGTCACGTCCCATCCTACTTCTTTCCTTCCCACAATCTGGAGGGAACAAGCAAGGAAACCAACACAGAGTAATTGCTTACTTTCTTCTTGCTGCAGTAGATCTGCCATTTCTTCTCCGCCGGCAGTGCAAACATCGCTTCTCTGTGCTTGTCTGTGAGGTCAAGTTCATCCTGAGAAGGGGAAAAGAAAACACAAAACACGCACCATGAGTACAGCCAGCAGCAACCGTGCAGCCACAGCCCCCCTGACAAGTGATATAGATCAGCGAGGGGCCTCGACAAGGCCACGGCCATGAGGCATCGCCCCTCGCCCTGTGGCTATTGATTTGTCGGGGTCAATAGCACTGATTATCACCCTGTTATTACTGACCGCTCTCTGACTCCTGCACCACAGCTGCCTGGCGAGAGCAAGCAGGTCTGCAAACCGTTCTGCATAGTTCCTCGCAGGGAGCGCCTTAATTACGGCTAAAAAAGGCAGGTATTTTAGAAAGGACACCCATGAAGTCAAGCTCCCCATGCATTACAGCAGCCAGAAAGGTAACTTTATGGAGTTAAGAGCTCTAGATGATAGATCACATCTAAGATAAGCAAAGGCAAGAACAGTTCAGTTTGGACCCTTCTTTTTAACCACCCTTAATAGCCGCTTCATCACCGAGGAGCCCAGGTAAACCAGGATGCCTCCAACACCAACACCCTTGTCACCAAAACCCTCTGGCCACAAATGCTCCTACGGCAGCAGGCATCATCCCCCACCCCAAATCTTGGGACCAAAGACCCAAGGAGATCCCTGTTGTCTCTCAGACCCATTTTACAGGCCAGACAGGCAGCAGAGACACGCAGAGACCTGCCCAAGCCCATGCAGGAAGCCTATGGCTTTTGCTTTGTTTTCCGATATTTTAAAACACAAAGTGCTTTTTCCTAATACCCGCAGTTCAAAAAAATCCATGCCCTCTCTGCTAAAACTGTACTATGTGGTACCTGGCAGAGATAAAGCTGTTTCCTGATTAAGACCTTTGTTGGTTTATGTGAGTTTTTTTTCTTTAAAGGACACATCCATTTTCGACTTTCAAGTCGCGGTTAGATCCGTGCCCTCCACGGGGATGCCTGGGCGTTATCAAAGCATCACTGCTTCCCATTGCTGGATGTAGGTCAAAGCTTTTATCAGGGAACGCACTAAATAAAACACCCAGGCGGGGCTGGGAGGCTCGTTTCAAAAGCCAACATTGATCCTACGCCCATGGATGTCTCTTAAAAAAGCCACCACTGGTGACAGCCCTTCTGCTGGTGGAAGCCTTGACGCAGCAGCGGGAGCGCTGCAGACCTGCTGTGGCCTCCAGCCAACTCATCACGTGCAGCCAGTGGATTTAATTAAGAGGATCCCTATTAAAAATTACCAATTAATTCCACCAACTAAAAGAAAAACTCCCACACAGAGACTCATTACAGCGAATATTATCATCTGAAGTGGTTATGCTGGTAGGCACTGGTACCCCAGGCACAGAGACGGGCTCCATCTGGCAAAGGCTGAGAAGATGCTTATGGAAAAGACGGGTCCCTGCATCATCAAGCCCACGGACCATGAAGAAATTCAGCTGGTCTCATTAATGCTCAAATTGCATCCAATACGGATCAGTATCCACGGAAAGGAGCCTTCGGCTATCCGGTAAACCGAGCAGAGGGTGCTCCAGCACAGCACGCAGCCGTGGGGGCTGTGGAGTCCGGAGCATCCCCGAGCTGTTGCTGTCCGCCAGCTCCCCCGTGCATCCACTTCGGATACAGGTTTCACTTCCCAGGGAGATCACCCCTCCAAAGAAAGGTGTCATTTTGCAATCCCTCCCACTCTGAGGAGCTTTGCCTGTTTCTCGCCGTTCTCCCCCCATAGCGACCGACTCTTCAGACTGATGTGCAAACAGCCCTCCCTGCTCGCAGAGCACAGCTGACATTTGTGGAGCGCTGAAGCCGCCTTCCAGGGCAGCCGCTGCAACCAAAACGCTTCTGCTGCCATAATACAGACTTAGGGAAAAGAAGCGAGGCACAAGAAAGCTCCGTTTTACTCCCTTTGGGCCCAATGCTTCTATTCGATGAGCTGCTCAGACCTCCCAGCTCTGCTCCTGCCCCCGCTTTGCATTTTCTTTGCAAAAGCCATCCAACAAGAAGATATATTACACAGCATCTAGCTAAAAAGCAGGCTGTTTAAACTCGGCTCTTTGGAAAAGGGCATGTGAGGGAGGACGAGGATCCCATGCTAAATATTTACCACTGCCTTAAGTGTTGTCCCAGTCTGGCTGAATACAGGAAAACGCTGTCCCTGTGACCCAACTTCCATGGCCCGTGAATTTTCATTTCAGGCATGGAAGCCGCATCAGTACACATCTGTAGTTAGACTCCTAGAAAAACATTTATCGAAACCTTCCAAAAAAAACCCACCCCCTAAAAAAACTTGCGCAGAACTGAAGATTTATTACCCAAGGAGAAATATAAACTGAGCTGAAGCCTAAGCAGGAGTAGGAATGAATAAAGCAGAAGGACGTGTTCGATGTGGCTGCGTGACAAGGTGCAAACACATCCGAAAAGGGCGCAGAAATTCTTCGCAGCCTCACGCAGAACATTTCCCTTGCCCAAGTTCCAACATGTTCAGTCATCGCAGCCCTGCGTTACTCAGAAACACCCACCTAATGATATCTTATGGGATGCTTGAGAGCTGTTTAAGCAAACACGGTGGGGCAACCGGGGAGTATGAAAATCCTCCTAATCAAACAGTGACTAATGACTGTTATTTCAAGCAGTGAAAGCAACTGAACAGCCAAGGATCAGCTTTGTGCTGTTACATGTGGGTGTGCAAATCCCTGCGCCCACCTTGCCAGACTGGAGGAGTCCCTTACTGTCACCGATGAGCACCTCAGCGGCCCCACACAGGCTGTGGTCCTTCCAGCGCCAGGAGACGAGCTGAGCATGGGAAGATCGGCTGTTTTCCAGGCATTCCCCGTCCGCCAAAGCCTTGTGCAATTGCTCAGTGGAGTCCTGGCACTGCCGAGAAGCTGGGTGCAGCCTCCAACCCAACGCGCCTCCAGTCAATAACCATGAACTCAATGAGCTGATTCTAACCCACAATTAACTGTAAGGCCTGTTTTCAAGCACGCAACGGCCAAGGGGAAGAGTGAGAAGACAACCGGGCATGTTGGGTTCCCTCCTGCCCCAATGAGCACCCAGAGCCCCCACTGCTCTGCCCCTCCGCACCTGGCCTGCTCCCAGGGCCAGATTTGCCAACTTTGCCATTTTTAAGCATTCTCTTGGAAGCAGGTCAAAGGCACGGAACATAACAGCTTCATTTTGCTACTAAAAGGAAGTCTCTGCCCAGAGTGTTTTTACTGGAAAGAGATACGCTGCTCTTAAATATTTATCCCGTACAGTTAAACTATTAACCTTTAGATCAGGAAACGTGTTTCCACATTAAATCTCCATTTGAATACGCTTCCAAAAAATTCATAGTGGAGATCTCATTCTAACTGTTTAAATGCTATTTCTAGGAGGTAAAATAGATCCGTGATTTGCTTTGCTGATGGCTCAGAGCCCTCTGCCCAAGCCAAGCAAACTTCCTCTTCCTTCCGCGCATGATGTGAGCCTCCAGTGAATGCAATTACACATTGCCCACCTAAAGCCACCTTAGAAATATGTGATCTTGGCTCAGCATGGTGTAGGCAAGACCCTAAGGGTCAAACCTGTATTTTCGCCCTGCCCTACACTTTTCTCTTGGAAGACCCAGGGTGGTTCTTCTGGAGATGTTCACATTGTCTGTAGCTCCTTGTGGGCTTCAAGCACACCAGTACTTGCAGTCCCTACAGCAGTGGCATCACTGCAGTGGTTGAGGTGACTCCTCCAGGGCACCCTAGTGCAGGGTGTCACCCACATCCAAGCAGGTCCAAAAGATGGATTCAGGGCGGGTGATTCGAATCCCATCACTAGATGAGGCCGAGAGCCATAGCTATTGCTCCTTCCCTTCCCAGACAGAGCTGCAAACTCCCATGCCGTGTATGAACACGCTCTGGAGACGGCACGGGAGGAGGCAGAGGCATCACTGAGAAACCCAGGGCAAAGCCGGGCGAGCGAAAGGGCTGCCAAGGAGCCCTGCTCTTCATCAACGTAGGGACGGGGGCAGCTGAGCCCGAGCTGGAGAGCTCCTCCAAGCAGGTGGTTACTCGGAGGCTTCACCGACGCGCGCTCGCCAAAAACATCCAATTCCATCTGTGACAGCATCGGCCGGGCACCGAATCAGGAACAGCCCCGCACTGGGAGAAGCCTGGAAAGACGGAGGCCGAAAAGACAAGGAGGGAGAGGAGCAGAGCCTGACCTCGCTGCAAGCAGAACCGCAGGCAGCGCTCACCATTGCACGGCCTCTTCACGGAGCAAACGCCAAAGCTCTGCTGGGAGAAACGTTTGCAGAACGGGCAGAAAAGGCATGAAAATGCACATTAATCTGGCCATGGGCAGTGCAGCTTCTCACAAGCATCTTCAGCATGCTCAAAGCCACCAGGAGGGGACAGGAGGCCACACGGGAGAGGACGAGCCACCAGCACAACTGCCACTGTTATCTTCACACTTTTACCCAAGTCACTGGTTTTCCCATTCACAACCCCCAGATTCTACTCTCCCCCGTAAAAATATGCAAAAAGCAGCTAGGGACTAAACTCATAACTAAGAGACAATTCCCTGAACAGGGGTCTGCATCTATAGTTTGAGTATCCATAACACACGGAGGAGACTGAGAAGAGGGGGAAAATTATGTCATTAATGGCCATAATTGAAATAAAACACCATGAAAAGGTTGCTGGTTTGGAGCCTATACATACATGTATAAATGTGCATATGTATACACATACACACACATATATACACATTCATACATATATACACTCACAGATCAGGTACAAAGGAAGACCCAACTAGATCAGTAAATGGACAACACAGTGAAGAATAAGTGAATTTGCTCCCAAAGGATGGATGCCCAGAGCTGAAAAACTTCTGTATAAGGCCTACAAGGAGACCAACAAGAGGGCAACACATCAACAACAGTGTCTCATCCCCTCAGAATAATGCCTGAGAGATCCAGATTGCTTAAAACAAGGAAAAAGTGGCAACACTTTTTGGCAACATGCGGCATCAACCAGCATAGC